TTTGACAAACAGCAATGGGAAACCGTATGCACCACACTAGGACTGGGTAGCCAAGAAGCAAAGCTGTGCGGGCTCTACAAAGGCAGCTACCCACCTCAGAGAAAGCCTCAACCGATGAGAGTTACCCTAAGCTCTGCTAGAGAAACGGAAAGATTCTTGCTGATGTCACGCACACTAGTCATCAACAGGTCATCCGGCATTAGAGCCAGACCAGACTGTCGTTGGTCAGCAAAAAAGTATCTCGCGAGACTCCCCGAAAGCTGAAACCGACGACCATGGTTGACCACGGCATACCGGAACTGACAACAAGCACAGTAGTGGAAAAGTATGCTCACGACGTTCAGCAATGGCAGCAGTTATCAGGGTCAAGTGGGGTAGCGGCGGCGGCGGTCTGCAGACTGTCACGTCCCTCAAATTTGACGACGATAACATCAGTCCGGTTGATGACTGTTAACTTCAGCTGCCAAGAACTTCTAGCCAAAGTACTGCAAACTTGGTAGGCAGTAAAAGATAACATCAGTGGGAACGTCCGCTGCTGTGGAAGCAGGCCCAGGATACTGTGACAATAGCAAATGGCAGCTCCGCCCACTGCTGAAGTCACCATCACTGTCAACAGACAAGATGTACAAACAAGCCTAGACTGTATGAAACCCCCAGAAACTATTGTGGGAAAAAACGTGATTGGCCGTCCCATGACAAGTTTCGCCACTACGCACGACTCCCTCCAGTCTGCCAGCACCAAGATACCCCATGTCGTTAGAAGCATATCCGAGTATCTTTACAGTGGTGTGAGGGGACTTGGAAGTAAGATGGGAAATTACCATTTCTCTGCCCCTACCTTGCTCCAACGATCATAATCCTGACAGAAACTTGGTTATCACCGGATATTAGTGACGTCAAAACTAGTATAGACGGTGTGCGTCTGTTCAGGAGAGACAGGGGGTTTAAGGAAGGAGGCGGAGTGGCGATGCTGATAAGTGATGACCTTAAAAGTGAACGAGCAGCTGAAACTCTACTTTCGGGGCTCCCAGACTCCAGTTGGCGTCACTTTAGGGTTGGACATACCGAGTACCTTGTAAGGGTGTCTACAGAACTCCTACTATCAACATGGAAGATGACCGGCAACTGCTGCAAGGAATGCCCGGGGTGACGTCCATCGGATATGACCAGGTCATTATAGCCGGCTACTTTAATGCTCTGGCTCTCAGTCTTGGGCAGGACAGGGGAACCCCAAGTCGAAGGTCTGACCGAGACCTACTCAACACTATCAGGAGGGCTGGGCTGCGCGAGAATATTGGTGATGATACTCGCTGGGGGTTTGGCGGAAAGCCGTCCGGACTGGACTACTTTTTTACCGGTGACCACCTGCTGGTAGAAAATATACAGGTGCAGACCCCTCGGCAGCAGCGATCACGGCGTGGTAGCGTTCAATCTGGTACTCAGTGAACAACTGTCATAGGAGGCATCGCGCCTTTGTATTTCCTACAACAAAGCGAACTACGTGGCGATGAACCAATACCTGTCGACAGCACCGCGGCCTCAGGAGTAGAGCAACCTATCGATTGATCGACATTGGGAACTAGCCAGAGATATTATCAAGAGAGCTGCCTCTGAAAACGTCCCGGTAATCACAGTAATGCCTCGGAAACGAACCTCATGGTTGAAGCGAGGCGCTGAACGCCTTTTGGAAGCCAAGAAGAAAGCGTGGCACAAGTGGAGGACCTCCAGAAAAGCGTCTGACCACGCCATGTATATTGCCCTAAGAAATCGATGTAACATTAGAGTGAGGGGAGACAGGAAGTCGTTCCAGGCGAACCTCGCTTAAAAGCTCGAGGCAAATCCTAAAAACCTACATCGGTTTATGGCAGGCAGAAAATCCACCAGCCAGGGGGCTTGCGTCCTGAAAGGCCTAAGTGGAGAGAACCTCCACGGACTAGAGATCGTCGAAGCCTTCAGTGCCACCTTCGGTACGCAACCGAATACGTCCCTATCAAACCAAAATTACCAGCTGTCCGACCGAAATTCAGCACCACCAAACGCAGTAGAGTTACCTGGAATAAAGGTAACTCCTGCTATGGTCCTCGAAAAACTGTCAAAGCTCCGCCCAGGGAAATCACCAGGGTGTGATGACATCCGACCGGCTGTGCTGAAACAATGCGCGGGTGCCTTGTGCGGTCCGCTGTGTAACTTGTTTCAACACTCCTTAGACAATCACATGCTTCCACAAGAGTGGAAAAGTGCTATCCTGTCCCCCATCTTCAAAGGTGGAGACAGGCAGAACCCAAAATGCTACCGACCCATAGCCCTCCTACCAGCGGTGTCAAAAGTAATGGAGAGTCTGGTAGACGACCATGCGAGGGAGTACTTGGAAAAGAGGGGAGCACTGAGTGATGCACAACATGGTCCAGTGCCACAAACATTCTGGCGGCAGGTGATAAGTGGATGGCATGCTGGGACCTAAATTTCCTGTCCATGTTATTTTCCTAGATTTTGTTAAGGCCTTCGACACAGTTCCACACGCAGTTCTTATTCACAAAGTAGAAAGGTTGGGCATCAAAGACAAGTGCTTTCATGGTTGCGGGACAATGTAGACGGTAGACAATTCTTCACAAAAGCCAACAGGGTTTGCTCGACTTGGAGGACATCATCATCTGGTGTGTCACAAGGAGCAATTCTGGGTCCACTGCTATTCCTTCTTTTTGTGAACGACCTCTCACTGAATTTCAGCTCCCCAATTCTACCTTACGCTGATGGTGTTAAGTTATGGGGAGCTATGACGTCAGAAACGGAATCAAGTGCACTGCAAAGTGACCTCAGATTGCTTGCAGAGTGGGTGGATATTATTGGACTTGCATTTAACCTAGATAAGTGCTGAGCCATGCTTCTCCGCACCTCAGACTCTCAGAAGGTACCCTATTCTCTCTGTGGAGCACAACTCCGCCACACCACCACAGAGAAGGACCCGGGGCTAATGCTGACTGACAAACTAGACACTAGCCCCAATTATCCAGGAGATACCTCCAGAGCCTACGCAGTACTGCAGACAACTGGGTGCCCTGACCCCAGGACTCCCTTTGAAGCTGCATGAGACCCATATACGACCCCACCTAGAGGTACACAATGTCACTACACCACCATATCTGAAAAGAGACATGAACCTCCTGGAGAAAGTCCAAAGGCGAGCCACAAAGGGTGTCGTGGAAATGAGGCGAAAACCATTTCAGGAAAGGCTGAAAGATCTAGGACTCTACTCTCTAAGCTACCGTAGATTACGTTGTGACTTGACAACGGCTCACAAAATACTCCGTAACCTAAGTCATCCGAACGGTGGAATCCGACTGAACGGCCACTATGGCGATCCTCGTGGTTATCCAAGGAGAATCGCCGACCAAAGAGCGAAAACCCGTATGCAATCACACTTCTTCTCTCTGCGAGTTTGTGGCCACTGGAACGCATTGCCTGCCGAGATTGCTACTGTTCCGTCTGTTGAGAGCTTCAAGAAGAGGTCGGACAGTTACGCAGCGACGCACGGTTTGCGCTCATCCAGCTAGGATGTGGACTATGGTAACACGACTTACTGACTCTTTACGCCCAACCGTTACTGAACAGTTAGTAAATCCACTATCTCTGAGAACTTGGCTTAAGCTTATTGAGACAGTCAGACTTGTAACGCAGTTGTCCATTTGGAGAGTGATGTTACTGACCGACTGAGAGCTGTACGTTCTGTAGCGAAACGTTTTCCTAGTAAAACTGTTACTTTCATAGGGAAATATCCGATTAGGGAGGCTTATGTATAGTTATTTCTGAGTAGAATGGGGAAGATACAAAACACATCAGTATTCAAACAGCGCGCTTGGTGGCGCGCTTAGTGACTGCAGTATGGGAAGAAAAGCTTTTGGTCTGTAATCGCACTGGCTTTTTCGGCCTTGTCTCTTAGATATTTGTGAAAACACAGGTCTTTATTCTTTAGACTGTTGACTTACTTCCAACGACCGCGTGAACAGACTTTGAATGAGCATGCTTAACACTGACACAATTCGTCGGGACTGTCCAATGAACTGTTAGTCAAATGAGTTCCTCAGGTGCCACCAGACAGTTTTTCGGACTTAATGTAAAAAGAACAGCAAGGAAGGAGGCATACCTGGTGAAATCAAGGGGGAGGAAATGTAACGAACAAGGTTAAAAGTGGAACGGAAGAAGGGGGAAGAAGAAAACTGAGTAGATCCAGTGGGGATAAAAGTGATAGAGAGAACACTAATAAATTGGGTGAAATCATTGACTCAGAGGTTGGACAGTTACTCAGCGACTCACGGTGTGAGCTCATCCAACTGGGGTGTGGACTATGCTAACACGACTAACTAACTCTGTACGACCAACCGTTACTGAACACTTAGTAAATCCTTTATCACTGAGAACTTTGCTCAGCCTTATACCTTCCTGTAGACATCCCCTCCAGTTACCGTCCTCTACTAAAAGAATTACTATATTCCCATTCCTCCTATGATGTTATTTATTCTTCTTACTTATGACTCTACGTTCTCGAACTTTGACAAAAGCTCTCCCTATCACCTATTCCCCACGAACCTGCTAATGTTTATTCTTCCGTGCCGTTTCCTTTTTCTTAATCTTTTTAGTATATATTATTCTTCTTCCTTTTTCCTTTTTCGTTCTCTATTTTGTCTCTCTGCACCTCCTCTGCCTTGATTTCTCTGCACATATTTTTCATCTCCTTTTTACAACCAGTCCAATCAACTGTCTGCTGACACGACATTTGAGGAACCCATGTGCACCACAGTCGACGGAAGAAAAAGCAAGCAAACAAACAACACTCCCTACAAATCTAAACAATACCCAACCGCCCGTCGGGCTAGCCAGAGCTACAGTAATCGAGTGGGTGGACCTACTGCATTGGAATCCACCGAAGACCTGGAACCGTTCCTCAAGACCTAGAATCGAGCGCGAAGAAATCAATTGGTTTAGACTAGCTCGTTAAAAGATATTGAATATTGAAATAGACAAACACTACCTCCAAATCTATAAGCAGGAAAACGCAAAGACTTCTGCTACCACCGAAGAAGTACGACTGAACAAAAAGAACCAAGCATTAAGACCTATAAGCAAAACCTCAAAAACTGCAAGTTTCCCCTACTGGCATCATCGACGTTGGATGAAAAGATATTGGATATTGATAATCGCTTGCCATGGTGATGAAATACTCGCCCATATAAAATGTACAGTAAAAATATTTTTTCAGATGCAATATACGATGAGCTTTCACAGGCTTTTAGATACATTGATAAAAACAGAGACGGAATGCTCGATGTTGAAGATATATCCAATTTGTTCATGACTCTTGGAATAGGTGTTAATAAGAATAATATTTCAGTAAATGATTGATTTATAATTAGGCGTAATAACAGGTCGCCATCAGGAGTTTGTCTGACTCAAATGATTCGATTGGGCTTCCTTTGTTCATTGAACTTCTCGGTCGTGCACTGGAAAATCCTGGTGGAAGCCAAGAGTTGAGAACCTTATTTCGGTTTGTTTCTGAAAATCAAAATGTCCATTAAGTTTTGACAGTATCAGCTGCTTTTACTTTTAACATATTTTTGCGTTTTAATATCTATCTTAGAACTATCAGTTTCGGATAGTTACAAGTCTTTTTAAAGCAGGTTTCTAACTGTTAAAAGCACTAGCAGCACGTGCACTATTTCTTTCGTCCTTGCAGAGAACGTCAAAACAGTAGACTGATCGAAGTTTCTGAGTGATCCATGGAATAATGTGTACCTATTCTGAATGTAATTCAGCAACTGTTGCTGAATCTATCTAGTTATATAATGATCGACCAATTAAATGCCATGAATGATATAATACACTAGGATATGTGTATGGACAATAAATTATATCCAAAACGTTATCCAGCGAGTGATACTGTTTAATTATGTGACATTTCTAATGAACAGACAACTGAATGCTTATCTGCGAAAAAATTAGATGCGTAAGTATCCAGTATCTGTCTTACAAGCAAGTAAAAATTAGGTTATTTCTCAGCAAATTTCTAGTTTTTGCTAATTGGTTCAACGTTCCTGCCGAATTCCGGCGTACCATATCCAGCCACTTCGGCTGTTGCGGTTCTCGTGAACCAGATAAATGGTTAGGTGCTCGTTTGTCGACAGATATATGATTTGTTTTGGAACTGTGATGCAGAAGAGATTTTCAAGTGTCCTTTTACCAGATGGTTGATGAGACTTCTTGAAAAAAGCAACATGAGGATTTAAGAGATAACCAAGGAAAGCAAAGAAAGAGGTAAAAACAAGATAAAAAAGCAGGGAAAGCCTAGAGATGTCAAGAGCGAGAATATTTTTTCAAATCATGCAAGATGTAAGACCCCCTTTTCCTCACAATCAAATAAAATGAGGGTTTAGTGATATCGATCCTTCTACTATCTTTAGGTCTGCTGCTTGAATATGTGAAACCTCAAAGTTCCTATAAATCGTTTTTGGGTGAACTTGACAGGCTCAAAGGTCAATCATGAATTCTTCATAACTGTAATATACTCACGGGTGCAAGGCAAAGAAACAACACAGTGGAGTAGCCAGGTAGAACAGTATATTTAATTGGCCGTGCTAAAAGGCCGGTACGTTTCGACTAACTCCCCAGAGGATTGCTTATGAGCTACGCAGCTTAACATGACAAAGTGCCAAATGGCGTGGATGCTTAACCATGTACCTTCAGCTTAGAAAGTCTGTTATTAACTATGAACGTCGATGGTGAGTCTTATTTAACCCTAGATTACTGGTTTTGGGGAATTACTCGCGCTAAAAGCTTTCTTTAGCAGAAAAAGTCGGATCCATTAATGAGCCACTACTAATGAAGACTAAAGGAAGTGGTTGATAGAATCAGATATATGCCGTTGATGAAGCAATTTCAGTCTGTGAGAAGTGGCCAAGGCATTCGAAACGCTTCAGATAAAGCTGAAATAAAATATAACTGGAAATAACCCCTTGGTGAAGGATCTGCTGACCATCTAGCGGAAACATTTTTTACAATGAAAGTGCATCATTAAAACTTCTCTGGAATAACTCATGAGGCTGAACCGTTTAAGCCATTGAGTAAATTCATCACCACTAGTTTAAGATGCAGACCTAAGCTCTTCGTTACGTATTTTATTTACATCCTCACGTCGTAGACAAATAATATAAATGGAAACATTTAAAGAAAATCATACGACTGAACATTGCATTTTATTCTGAGGAACTCTTCTGATCACAAACTCTCGTTCAAACAAGAATTCAGTTTGCCATTACCAGCTGAATCTTATCATGTAGGTATTCGTTAACCAACACTGGTACCGCCATTAATACCAAATACAGCGAGCTACTTCAATGAGCTGATAAGGAAAGCCTTGAACGACTTTTCTCGGTCACAGAACATCAAGTTCTTGGGTAATTTCTCATCTCCATCCCCATCCTCCATATTTTTCTTTTTTCTTGGAGAAGATTCATTGATGAAGAATGACAAACTGAATATGTGGCTGGTTATGGTTTTGTTTTGTACCATAGGTAGCCGTAAACGAGGCAAGAACGTGCCGAATAGTCCTACGAACACTCGTATTCTATACCAACTAGCAAATAGGTGGATTTATTTTGTACTCCATGTGAAAAAGTGGTCATCAAAGCTTCACGTTGCAAATCATCCTGATAATTATGTATCTTAAAAAAACAGATGGCATCCAAAGATCATCAAAAGTTACGGTAATCAACATTTAGGTTTTCCCATCTAAGGAATAAACCGCATTAAATTACGTCCATAGGCTTTCAGCTATTGCTCGAGTGATTTTGATAATTTATTAGTGTTAGAACGAAGCTTTCATCTACTGACTAGTTCTGAAAATGACATTTTTCGAATTTAATATTTGTCCCTTGGGTTCCTAGTGGAACATGGGGTTTCAGTAGCACGTCGCCATTCTACTCTCTTCTCTACAGTCTTTTCAACCTGGCTCCATGACTGTCCAGAAGCTTTCATTTCTTCATACGATCTCACCTATGTCACCCTCACCTCGGACGCCGAACTCGTCGTTTCCCCTTTGGATTCCACTCGAGGGCCTGGCCTAGCGCGTGATATCCCCAAACCGTCTTCTCAGTGAATGTCCAATCCAATCCAATCTGTCTTCACTTCCTTCTGTATATTTGTTGGTCGATAAGTTCTTGGTTGGTTGGTTGTCAGGACAGACTTCCTTGTTGTTTATTCTTCCTAACCAACTGATCTTCAGCATCGAGGGTAGGTGGCAACTGTTCATGTATATCTGCAGTTTGTTGGAAGTGCTTTTCGTAAGGCACCAAGTCTCTGAACCATCACAAAGAAGCATTGACTTGACTGACATGAGTATTGAAAACCCGGATCTTGTTCTTCATACTGAGTGAAGTGTAGTAGATCTCCACACTGATTTCAGGTTGATCAAGGAAGGCCTGTCTTGCTGTCTTTCCGATCCTGACTTTGACGTCCTCATGTGTGCCTGTGCCGCCTGCAGTTGAAACGATGCTTCTTCGTTAGGTGGGTAGGTGAAAGAGAAAAGTTTCTTTATATTTCTCCTATTGATGGTGATTGGTGCTTGTTGTTGTTGGTTAGGAGTTTTCATCACATCTGTCTTCTCTACGTTCACCTGAAGAGAGTCCCATCTTCGTTGCCCTGCCTCTTTTCTTCTAACAACTTGTTAGATTTCGCCTGTAGATCTTTGAGTTTGTGCGACATTAAGCACAAGTCATCGGCAAAATCCAAATCTTCTTGGATCTTCTCCCCGGTCCAGTGTATCCCTCTCTTCTCGCTTCTTACTGTTTGGTGCACGATCCAGTCCACCACGATCACAAAGATCTTCGTTGATAGTAGGCGGCAGCCTTGTATTACTCCTGTCTTCACTTCAAAGGCGTCACTGAGCTTTATGTTTTCAATCAGTTGGCATGTGGCATCGTCGTCATATAGCTTAGCTGTTGAATGAGGTTGATAAAGGTTTGTGGCACTAAAACCGTAGTGTTGAAGCAGTTGCCGAATTACTTTTCCTTCGACGCTATCTTCGGCCTTTCAAAGTCGATGAAGTTGAGATAGAGATCCAGTTGACTGCCATTCTATACTCTTTTCTATTATGTTGTGTAGTGTAGCGTTGCAATTTGCTTCGCACATGACTTGTTCTTCCCGAAGCCAGCCAGCCAGCCAGCCAGCCTGTTCCGGTCGCAATTTTGAATCCAGAGCATCCTTCAGTCTCTCCAGGATGATGCGGCTTAATATTTTGCTTGCTTTGGGTGGACAGGAGTGAGGGATGATTCCTTGCCAGTTCTTGCAAAGGCTTAGGTCTCCCTTGTTTGGGATTTTGACAAGCTACACCTACTTCCAGTCAATCGCCAGGTACCTTTCCTTCTTCCTTCCTTCCTTCCAAACCTTCTGTAGTAGTGGTGTGAGCCTGTGCACTGTTGTCTCTGCATCCATTCTCAGTGCTTCTTGTGGAATTCCATCTGGTCCTACTGCTTTTCCGAATTTCAACAGTTTTATGGCATTCAGAACATCAGCTTTCGTTGGTGTGCTTGTGTTCACTGATAGTTTTGTGGCTGGGCTGCTGGTGATATTTCTGGACGAGTTGCAGGTGGTGCTTGTGGTGGTCGATTCAAGAGCTTTTGAAGTGGTCATCTCATTAGTTCCTTCGTTTCTCCCCTTTGGTAACTAGCTTTCCTTCTCTATCTTTCATTGGTTTCGTCTGCGTTGATCTCTTCCCAGATAGTAACGTGGTTATTTGATATGGTGTTGTCAGGTCTCTTCTACCAACCTGCAGCCTGTTCTGATTCATTTGCTAGTGTGTCATAGAAGTTTCTGCTGTCTTTGCACACACTCTTCTTCACTTCTTTGTGAAGTGAGGTGCCTTTAACGCTCGTTAAGCTGACAAGCTTCAATTTTTCCTCGTACCAATTTATCGGACTCTAGTTTTAGTCAGGTTCATCCTCAGATTTCTTTCACAATTTATGAGTAAGTTCTCACATACAACGTGATCGACTTGTCTGGTCCCAGAACAGTGAAATAGATTAATTCAATGTCTGATTTTCTTCATATGTCCGTAATTGTAATCACTTTGGTTTTTAGACTCTCAGTTTAGTGCTCTTGGTCAGATATTTTAAACTGTACGCACTCGTTAGACGGTCGACTAAGCTGTTAGAGCCGTCAACTGGCTTTGAATTGTGCTTTTGATAGCATTGGGTTTTGGGACTTCACTATCTCAAAACGCCAGATTTTTAGGTCCTTCTTCTGCTTAATTTCTACTGCAACCAATCAGTTGTCAGGCAGACTGAATTCGAATTTTCTTTTCCTTGACTTTCCAAGCATTGCGTAATGTTCCTTTTTTTTCTTCTCTACTCCATAGTGTAAATGATAATTTGAAGTTTTAGTAGCTGCTCACCAATAAATCCATCTTAGTGAGTTTTTTCAATGAACCCTTGTCTTGGTCAAGAGTCAACAGTTTCGAAAGATTGACACAACTGGTCTGATGTAGTATCAACAGCCTTTCGATGGATCTGATTCTTCAAAATTTTCATACTGGATAAGAATCCTGTTTTAACCATCTACCGACAGTTTTGGTGCCAAAGACATCGGTTTTACTTGTCTTATTGCTGGGTCATCGGTTATCATTACATTCTCTGGTTTCGTACTGTATATAAGTCCATTCAAACTGAGTGTAAACAGCTAATATAATTTTCTGAAAAAAAATCCTTTACTCTTGTAACTAAAGTACTAACTGCATCGCAGTTTTGGGTCAGTAATTTTGAGACTTAGGAAAAGAGATTGCGATATCTAACTTCTGTGCTTTTAAATAGTCATTCAAGACAGTTTTTCTTGCCACAGCTTTTGGTGCTGCAAAGTTGTTATTCGTTTTCACACTTATAACATTTACACTGGAATTACCAGTGCATCACAGACTTCTTGTCATAATCCGCTAAGCAACCCCCTAAATTATGATAATAGATTTTCAGCATTTGCAGATTTGAATGATCAAGTATTCGTGTCTTAGAAGTGATGAGGTAGTAGATTTTCGAGTACGGTTTTTGTGTTACTAGTATCCCATCTTGAGAATGGAATTTTGTTTTCTTCTCACCAAATTTTGGAACAAAACAAAAGAGATCATTTATGGTGGTTAACTATCGTGATAGACAATCGTCTAGGACTTTTTATGCCAAGCATACACGGAGAATACTGTTTATCAGCCCGACTGATTTTTGGAAGGATATCTAATTTTCATTCATACGCGTCTTGAAGTACAGAGATCATTAACTCCGTGTGAGGTAAATTTCATTGTGTGCATATTTTTGTGGAAAAAGAATTGGCAAAAGCTTTTTCCAGGCCTTATCATGATCAACCCTGAAGACTTATCCTTGCAATTAAAGTTGAAGCCTGAGATCAAAAGGTTATCTGTTAAGGCTAATGGGATTATGGACGATATGGGCTGACTAGACATGGGTTGTTTCTTAGTCTAACTGCCATCTTAGTTATCCATCTTCAGACTTTTTGTAGGATACTAACATCTTTCTAAAGGAGCTCAGTATTACGGTTGAATTTGCGTTAACACACTGTCAAATCCATAAGCTGTAAACTGTTTTGAATGATTAGGAAGTTGAGTATCTTAAAGTTCTTGGTAGGTATTGGCGGACATTTTTAGTCTTATTTTCAGATGAGTGGAAATGTGCAGAGCTACCAAGAGTTTGACTTAGATATATATATAATTCTCAGTAGGTGGTATATAGCCTTGAAGTTCAACCAAGCTGAAACTATATACAGAAAGTTGGAAGAAGCCTATTATCACGAAAGTACGAAATATCAAATTGAAAAAAGTCTAATAAAACTGTGATCACTGATGCGGTTCATTGTTCGTGCGACAGCTGAGGCGTCAGGTCATTCTTTAGAATGAGAGAATCTCTAAATATTTGACATGCTGCATACCCAAATGCTATCTGGACTTATTATTATTTGTCCCGTGGGTTCCTAGTGGAACATAGGGCTGCTCCCTAGACTAGTTGTCCACAAATTAGCTAAGCAACCTCCGAGAATATTCGTACTACAAATGGATGTTTATTCTGAAGTAAGTGATTACCTGTCAGTCAGAAGTTTGCTGTTCTTATTTAGCATGGAACTGCTTAGCAGTACACAAACATGTCTTCACTCGGGACGGGAACCAAGTCTTTCAGGTTTTACATCCAGCATGTTACTATTAAGGTTCTGGGTCAGAATATAATGGTTTACACTTTCCCACTTCCATAATTTCGCAATATAGCTCGACTTTCATTCAGTATCGTCTTTGACAACCTGTACTCACATCACACTTAGTTTGCCCCACCGGTCATAACTTCTCATTACAACTTCGGGAAATCTCATGTTGAAATAAACCACTAATGAGGACTGGATAGTAATTTAAATTAAAGGTTTGTGGAGTTTTATTGATATCATTTACAGCTGTCCAGTGCTCCAAGGTTTTCAGTGGTTCTCCAACTGACGTCACTTCGTGATAACTTGTAATCAATAGATCGCCGCAAACCTCCAAATAAAAATAAACTAGTTGTACAAATAACGGTGAAACAGTAGACTGAAACTTTAGATTACAGAAAAGCTTATTCCAAAATCGAGACATAACGTTAGTTATTACCAATGAAACTTAGGAACAAGTGGTGATCTTTTTATTTCCTTTAGAATTGACAGACAAGAAACAGGCAGTTGATTAAGTTGAACAAATGACGTTTTTTAGGTCTTAGTAGATGACATTCTTGGTAAGTGGAAACAGAATTTCTTGTCAACACGAATAATGCAAGAACACCATGTGTAGTAGCATAATACAAGCTCATTTGTATTGTTTCCAGTATTCTTCTAAACTGTGTACACTCTAAACAATATGAAAATAAATTTGTCGTACACAAGTTAACAAGTTGGCAGGAACAGTAGTAGCATGAACAGTAAATACCATGCTCATGGTTGAAATGGCCATATTAGTAACGTGATAAGCTAGGTTTTAGTTAAAATTTTGATAATTTTGTCGATAATACAATCCATAGAATGCATTTCTTTTCTAGTATTGTTGATCGAAATGGTGATGGATATTTGGATCCAGAAGAGATATCTTTCCGTATGTCCAAGACAGTTGGTCCAATTACTAAAGAAGAGACTAGCCTTTTATTAGATTCAATTCATATGGATGATGGTCCAACAGTCAATTGTGAAGAATTTGGTGCTCTGCTGAGATCTAGATTTTCAAAATCACAAAAATAGATTAATATCCACTACTTTACTTTTACTGTCAAGTATGTAATGTAGTTGTGTCTCTTGTCTGGGTAGAAATATATTGTGAGCACATATTTTGTAGCAATTTTCACATCCATCAATAACATGGTTCCTTCTTTCTATGAGTTGTCAGGATAAGTAATTTAATCACTTCCTGGTTAATTGACGGATATTAGTTACTGAATTGTTTGATATATAGCGCACAGTGATACAGTATTATTTACTGTATCACTGTGCGCTATATATCACATAAACAAATCTAATGTGGAATTACATTCTACCACAGTGCCCAGGTTTTACACTTATGTTGGTTACTGAAGTTTCACATATAATCTAAACACACCTTATCGTCCTGGATGACGATTTCATTCTCAAAGCTGTAAAAGAGAAAATGTATACATCTTTTTCTTGTGTAAGGGTTGGACAATTGGATTCGGCTTGTCAAACATGTTAATAAAAATGGTGTCAATACATGAGCTGCCATTAAAGTAAAAAATAATGAAGATTAATCAGAATATGACTGGAGTGGCATAAAGACTACTAACTATGGATAAGAAGTTTTGTGACAGGACAACGTATTTAGAAACTTATGTATCATCAGAAAGAGCATAGAAACATATGTCTTCGTAGAATTGCTTACGTGTGATGGAATCGCAGTGTGGAGTTCTTGAGGTCAGGAGAGGGATAGTAAGCAAGACAGGCAAGTCAAGAGATAAGGTTATAAACCTTTGTCGAGTCAGATGGCTTAGGAGTGTACTGCGCATGCTAAGTGACGGTCTACTTCTATTTTCCATGCTAGGGGAAGCCGTATTAAGTTTAAAGAGGGTTGAGGGTGGCCAGACTAAGATATAACATCAGTCAATGAAGTCCCTTACTGCTGGTCTGAGCCGTGTGGGGAGGTGAAGACTACCTCGTTGGGGTCACAGAGACAATAGGAATCAGTGGCTGAAGAATCTTGGTGAAATGACTGAAAATCAGTCACAGTGGCGCAGACCTATTCACTCCCTGATGATGTTTTCTAAAACTTGAATATTCGCGCTAACTGTTATCTTCAGATTCTTCATTCTCTCACAAGACTTTGTGTACTTGATATCACTCTTTTTCTATCTACATGTTCTTTGTGTACTACTGTGAAATGTGGCAACTTGGACTGATGAAATTGCGTGCGAGGTTCTAGATTGATTTTATCTCTCAGTCGGTCAGTCAGCATCGAAGCAAGAATGAATGGTAAATTGTTTAGGAATTGAACAGTGTAAAAAGAAAAGAGGTGACTTGAAAAACTGAAAAGCAAGACCATGACAGGAGAAGAGGTTGAACATTCCTTTTTTGTACTAAGTTCAGCTTTATCCTTATGGATGGCAAGAGCTTTGGCAATTCAAAGAATACGAAGACATGCTGCTTTTGAATGTTTTATTTCCACTTTATAAATGACTTTGAATGACATTCTTGGAATAGGGTGATTCGTATTCAAATTGTGTTCAATTATAGCATTTCATATTGATACACTTTTACCTTTTTTTAACTACCAAGTACAGTGTTCCTGAACCCATTTGGATAAGAGTATCATCGAACGACTTAACTACTTGTCTCCACAACAGCAGGTGAATTGATGTACGCACAAAAAAGTAGTCGAATGAGAAAACGTATTCTACAGGTTGTTAGAAATCCCTAACTCGTAAGAAAATAGTAGTCTCAGACTTGATGCCAAGAATGTTCTCCTTAGAGAGTTTGATATCCTTTTCTTTAGAGTGGCAGAATCACCTTTGCAATTTAGATTCATATAAATTATCATTTTTGGTGCAGTGATAGGGTTCTCTTTCCGTTGTTTTGGCTTTATATTTTTGTCTATGATGCGTAGTTGGGATCCATTCTTAATCGGAATGTTCGTTATAATAGAAATTTCCTCTCCCAACATATTGGGATTGAAGTGGGAAGAGATATGATAAGGTTTCATTTGCGATTCACAGGGACCCAGCTAAAAAAGTTTCGTCACCTGACAATTCCAAGTTGGTCTTTTATCAGTGGACCTTCTTAATGTGCTAATTGTTAATCATATGGGACCTCTTTTCTGCATTAAGTTGATGCTTTATGGTCATCATTACAGTATCGTTTTTATCTCCAGTCCACATACACAGACTCATCTAGGATATTCAAATGCTAAAAAGCTTATTTAAAAGATTATTTACTGTGTCGTTTCAGTTACATGGGTTAACTATATTATACATATTCAGGTTGTATTTTATGCATTCACGTTACAACAAGTCATAAATGGTAACTTCGTCAAAAGAGACGATGCAGCATATTCAATGCACAGACGTTTTACTCTTTGCCAAAACTGATAGTTACCTTGATATCACTTTACGAATTCATGATGGAAAAGTTTTGCAGACTGAATAATGGTGAGCACTGAATTAGTGATGACTAATAAAAGTGCTACAAATGCTATTCTGCTGACAATTATTGAGGCCGTAATTCAGATGGAATCTGAAAGGCTTATGTGCATCAAAATGAATACTGAACGGTCAGACAATTAGAATTCGCTTCCTTTATCAGTTGTCAGCCTAAAATGTTACGTGTGGTAAATAAGTTGCTCATTTTCAACTGACAGAATATTGTTGACCCAGTCATGATTTGAAGTGTCTCTGGATACGCCACTGATATTGCTAAGACTGTATATAGTTGTAATGATATTTGGCTGTTTCTTTTTAGCATTGTCTACGTGGCTGAAACAAATGTAGCAATAAACGGCTGAAGTGAAACGCCATTTCTATATTAAGACTCTGGCTTGAATCAGCTTTCTCCTTTCACAATTTCTAGTAGGGTTGACCGAGATGATGTTTTACTAAATATCAGAGCCTTCATTTCATTCATAATTATGTTTGTATAGACATGTGAAACGCGACTTCTGCCTATTCATATTTCTAAATTGAATATGAACCCGATACTTGCTAGTAACTTGCTCAGTGATCCACTTCTCAAACTGCTGTTAAATATCTGTTGGCCAAGTAGACAAGGAGTAATAGTATTCACCACTGGAATCGAATGATGCTACCGATATCTCACGAATTTATAGTGGCTCAATAGTATTGTGGTCACATTAGATCCTGATGGTTTTGGGTTTTATACCTCACGAGGTCGTAGGTGCACAATGATGAACAGGGCCATGATATTACGTAAAAGGCACTTAGTGCTCACAGGTTTTTCGGGATTCTATGCTTGTTATGATGAAGACTGCTATAAGATCAATCAACACCCTACATATCTCCAAATGGAAAATTTGATAGCTTTGTTACATCAACGCTTCACATATGTTTAGAGTTTCAGTAAGGTTTCGATGGAAATCAAAGTGCTAAACGAAACAGAATGGTTATTTAACTGATGCGCGTATTTCTTGTTCTGTTTAACCACATGACAATGAAATTGGGGCAATATTAAATGGCTTTCATCCATGAAGAATTCATCTACATTCAGTGACAAAACGTTGTAAGTGATTTCACCGATATCAAAAAGAAAGATGCATAATCGTGGTGAGTACGCACCTTTTCAATGTAATCTTGCTAATTACTAACCCACAAACGTGACCAAAAACTCATCTCCATTCAAAATATTTACTCATATCGCCTGATAAGAATGTTGTCTTATCAATTCGTGAAATTTGAAGTAATTGGTCCCTTTAGTGTGTTTATGAATTATGAATTCAGTATAATTTGAAGACGAAGTTTACCTGAAAAATGTAATGTATTTGTGCAATACATTTCAAAAAGTTTGATCACATTAACTTGTCAAGTCAACTTGTGTAGAGCCGAAGGATGGGAGTACAAATATAACAATTAAGATAATGTAGGGTTAAAATTAAGGTAAGTGAGAACAAAAAGGTAGGGTGAAAAAGTTGATCCTAATCTTGGTAGAAAAACAAAGTTTACCAAGATACGTGTAGTGTAAGAACAAATTGTTTTTTTACACATAAAGGAGGTTTCAACAAGAAATTTGGTGTATAAGGGAATTGGTTGATCTCAAAGTGGTGCCCATAAAGCGATGGTGACACTTTAAGAACCAGCGAAAACATAGAGGCACTTAATATCTCCTTCATCTTGAAATGGGACACATCACTGTATTGAATATCTTGAAATCAAAACATGAACCTTCTGTCAAATAATGCTGAGTCAAAACATAAACAGAAAAATTAACCGACAGCATTGACGGTATGAAATTGGCAGTGACAAATAATATCGTGAGATGTGCTTCAACATTAGCACCGTATCAAAAGAATAAGCCTAAATGTGTAATTATTTTCAATCTAGTAACCAGAGCAGAAGCCTAGAAGTGTCTTCAATATCTGAGTTTCGGTAAGCAGGCGGCGTAGGCAACTCTTTTCGGGAATCTTTGACGAAAATAGTAAGATCATTACCAAAGGTTTGTCATTCGCGACAATGTTGCAGGTGTACTATTTACCCCTTTAGGTATGAGTGACGGAACCATGTACTCCAATTCATTTCACCTAAATGACTGCTCGGTATCCTCACTCACTCACTCACTCACTCACTCACTCACTCACTCACTCACTCACTCACTCACTCACTCACTCACTCACTCACTCACTCACTCACTCACTCACTCACTCACTCACTCACTCACTCACTCACTCACTCACTCACTCACTCACTCACTCACTCACTCACTCACTCACCCACTCACTCACCCACTCACTCACTCACTCACTCACTCATCCACGAATGTACAGAAATGTGTTTGCAAGCAGTCTAAATATTCGGATATTTTAGACGGCACTTAAGTTAGTTTAGGGAGAAGACTAAATGGATATTGGCATGAGTTTACTGACCGTAACGTATCTCTTCATTGTGTTTATGAAGGTGGTGTGAAGTCACTACCAATGAAATTCAGTAAACTCGACGACCTCATTTTCCAAATGTATGACTGATACTCATCAGGACATGATGGAAGAAGAAGAGGAACCACATATTCTTCTGGACGCACAACTAGTAGTGTATGCACCATTTTCTTTCCTTTTAGTGTTTCATAATTACAGCGGTTTGTAAAACATGCCACCAAC